TGACACGTGCTGTCCATCTGGAATGATCCGGGGCGCTGACCTCACCCATCGTGGGCAGCTCATGCTGTAGCATCTATCAGCGCTAGATGCCCCTCATACACCAGGGAGCAAGCCGCCGTGGCCATGGCTGCACCGTCCCTTGGCCAGCGTCCCCTCCAGGCAGCACCTGCCGGCTTCCCGCCCACCTGGGCTCCCCTGGCCGCCCCGCTGTGGCCTGGAGACTCCGGAGCAGCTGGGAAACTGGAGGGAGGCCGGAGCGGGAGGGGGGGAGGGCCTGAGGGCCTGCTTCCTCCTAGAATGCACTTGGCCCCCGTCTGGTCTCAGCCGGGCAGGAGGCAGAGCACAGGAGATGAGTCCTGGGGCATGAGGCCCGGCTGAGACCGGCCGTGGTCAGCAGGACGCACTGGGAAGGCATCTGGGCTGGGGCTGAGGCTGGGGCTTCATCCGCCCGCCCGTCCCCTCCCCACGGCTCCGCCTCCCCACGGGAATCTCACCCGCAGAGTGAGAACCAGGGCGGCCATGATGGAGAACCTGAAACGTGTCTTTTAAATCCTCACCCGAGGATATTTTCCATTTGATCTCCAGAGAGACTGGAAGGGAGAGAGAGAGGGAGAAACATGGATGTGTGTGGCGAGCCGGCACGGCCATGGCACACTCAGCCCCACCTTGGGCGCCTTCTGTGCCGCGCCAGCTCAGCCAGGTTCAGTGACCCTGAGAGGGGGCGGTGAAGGATGGAGAAAAGACAGACAAGAGAAGAAAGCTGGGTCTGGGTGGGGCGCTGTCCTCTCTGGTGGAGAGCTAGCGACAGCGCCACGGACTACAAGCCGAGTCTTTATTTTACAGCAGATTCCACGAGGCAAAGTCAGGGCGTGGTCAAGATGTTTACAACATTCTCGTGGGTTTCGACCCTACTCAACTCCATGCACCTGAACTCTATCAAGCCCACATCACTCAGGCACATGGGGCCACGTGTTCGGACCATAGGTTCAAGCTCACAACTACAGCTGTTGGCTATCATTGTGCCGGGAGGGCTCTGCCCTCCAAGCTGGGACTTGCACGTGGCCGTGAGGGGACTGTGCCTTCTCATTAGTCCGAGGCTTGAACCTGTCCAAACACTGTAGCTGCTCCCCACAGATGTGAGAGAGACACATTGACTGGTTGCCTCCCACACGCGCCCTGACCAGGGTCTGGGATAGAACTTGCAACCCAGGTACGTGCCCTTGGCCAGGAATTGAACCTGTGACCCGTGGACCAACGCTCATCCACTGAGCAATGCCAGCTAGGGCTCATTGTTATCATAGAAAATGTAAATCTTTAAAACGTAGCTCCTGAACTAGTAAAACTCAAAGTCCGGTTTCATCAGCGCTGGGACAGAGGTCACCAGGTCGCGTAAGATGTTACCATTGGGCTCTGCTCCAGGGCTCCCTGCCTCTGTCCTGAGCATCGCGCATGCCCTCTCTTCACAGTGGCCTCGTTACTAAAAGGGAGACAAGGCGTCTACACGGAGAAGGAGAGGCGGATGGGAGCCATGATCAAGACCCGATTCTTCAAAATCATGCTGGTTGTCGTTGTCTGGTAACCTGTCTTCTCCTTGTACTTGTCACTGGGAAGGGACATGCAGGCCCCTGGCCAATTTGCTTGTCCACGAGGGACCTGAAAGTTCTAGAGGGAGGAGTCTTTATATATATATTTATTTATTTTATTGATTTCAGAGAGGAAAGGAGAGGAAGAGAGATAGAAACATCAATAATGAGAGAGAATCATTGATTGGCTGCCTCCTGCGCGCCCCCTACTGGGGAGGAGCCTGCAACCCAGGCATATGCTCTTTTTTTTTTTTTTTTTATTTCAGAGAGGAAGGGAGGAGAGAGAGATTGAAACATCACTGATGAGAGAGAATCATGGACCGACGGCCTCCTGTGCGCCCCCCACTGGGGATGGAGCCTGCAACCTGGGCGTGTGCCCTTGCCAGGAATCGAACCCGGGACCCTTCAGTCCGCAGGTCGACGCTCTACCCATTGAGGCAAACCGGCTAGGGCTAGGCATATGCTCTTGACCAGAACAAATCCTGGACCCTTCAGTCTGCAGGCCGCCCCTCTATCCACTGAGCCACACCAGCCAGGGCCCAAGGGAGGAGTCTTTGGAGAGGAAACCTTTGGCTCTGGGCTAGCGGCCCTTTGAGGAAATGCACGCAGGACAGAAGGCAAGTCCACAGCCCCTCAGCCTCTGCAAAGAGTCAGATCCACGGAGATGGGACAGGAAGCCCTTAGAACACAACCCCGGCTTCACAATCCCAGCCCCAGCATCCGGGTGCCCCCTGCCAGGTTACCATGAAAACACAGCATTGGCCCCACCTTCTCAGTCCACCCACTCGTGTCAGTCTTGGCACCAGCTGCCTGTATCTAAGAAGCTCCAAGGGCGAGGGCACGGCTTTGTTGGGATGCGTCAGAGCTCAGACCAGAAGGGTAGAGAGCAATTTCTCTCTCCTCGGTTTCCCCACCGCAGGCCTTCTGCCCAACGTGGACGCTTTGAAATAGACCTGTGTTGCCCTGGCCATGTGGCTCAGTGGATAGAGCATCAGCCTGTGGACTGAAGAGTCACGGGTTTGATTCCGGTCAAGGGCACATGCCTGGGTTGCGGGCTCGATCACTCATAGGGGGTGTGCAGGAGGCAGCCGATCCATGATTCTCTCTCATCATTGATGTTTCTCTCTCTTCCTCTCCCTTCCTCTCTGAAATCAATAAAAGTGTATTTTTTAAAAAAGAAAGAGAAATAGACCTGTTCCCCATGCAGGGCAGCAGGTTACAGTTAGAAAACCCTTAGCTGCCGCAAAGCAACGTGTCCCAGGCGGGCCTGCCTTTGTGGGTGTGGCCACTCATGTGAGGCCAGGAGGCTCGGGCACTGCGAGGGGAGGCGTCATTATTTCTCTTAAAGCCTCATGAGCTGGCCTTGCCTGTCTCACTACCTCTCAACAATCACATTAAAACATTCGGACATCAGCCCTAGCCCGTGTGGCCCAGTGGATAGAGCGTCGGCCTGCGGACCAAAGGGCCCCAGGTTCCATTCTGGTCAAGGGCATGTACCTGGGTTGCAGGCTTCTCCTTGGCCCAGGCCCTGGTCGGGGCTCATGCAGGAAGCAACCAATCGATGTGTTTCAATCGCCTGGATGCTTGTCTCTGTCTTTCCTCTCTCTTCCACTCTCTCTGAAAATCAATGGAAAAATATCCTCGGGTGAGGATTCAAACAAACAAACAAACAAACAAAACATCTGAACATCAAATTTCAGATAAGGTTTGCTTTGGTCTCGGCCCAAACCATATGCCACGCTTCGAACGAAGACCGACTTTGGAGTTATTTGATGGAGAGTTTGTCTGTCTCTGCGTGGGACAGGGAAGCAGCTGTGGGTCTCCTGTCAAATTCTGATGGGGGGGGCAGTGCTTGCGGCCACCCCCGGAGGACCGTGAGCTCTGGGGAGACACGCCCCCTGCCCTAGCGTGTAACCACGCCCTCTGCGGCTGATATCCTCACCCAGCTGGGCCATTGTCTTTCTCACAGTTGGTTGTCGAACATCATCAATGAAAGCCTTCTCTTCTATCTGGAGATGCAACCGGACATCAACGGAGGCGCTTTGAAATATGTCAGAAATGCAGCCAAGACCACGTGGTTTATTATGGTAGGTCAATCCTGATTGTAAATTTTCCTCTTGCAAAATAAAGACCAGCCCTGGCCGGTGTGACTTGGTTGGTTGAGCGTCATCCCTGCACCGAAAGATGCGGGTTCCATTCCCGCTCAGGGCACATGCCCAGGAGGGGGCGTGCAGGAGGCAGCCTGTCTCTGTTTCTCTCTTATTGATGTTTCTCTCTCTCTTCCTCTCTCTGAAATGAATGTAAAAATACGTTTTAAAAGATTATAAATGTAGCCCTGGCTGGTTTGGCTCAGTGTGTCTCTCTCATGTCGATGTTTTTTTTCCTTCCGCTCTCTCTGGAAATCAATGGAAAAAATATCCTCTGGTAAGGATTAAAAATATATATATATAAACATAAAAAATTATACTAAATACAGCTACATAATAACACACATCAAAATATATTGGCTAGAAATACACGCGATGGTCAGGTGGAAGCACATGGGTGGACCCCCCCACCCCCAGTGCTTCCGTTAGATTGCGTTTATAATAAAGACACAAACACGGGCCTGGCTGGCGTGGCTCAAGGGTTGAGCATCAACCTATGAACCAGGAGGTCACGATTGGATTCCTGGTCAGGGCACATGCCCAGGTTGCAGGCTCCATCCCCAGTGTGGGGCGTGCAGGAGGCAGCCGATCCATGATTCTCTCTCATCATTGATGTTTCTCTCTCTCCCTCTCTCTCTCCCTTCCTCTCTGACATCCATAAAAATATTTTAAAAAATACAAACAAGAGCTCTCAGTGGAAAAATACACGATGTCCTACACAGACTTGATTTTGATAGCACTTCAAAATTGGAGGAAATCTGATTGGCAAGGACTTGAAAGCAAGACCAGCGCTCCTGCCTCCCCCGGGCTGTGCCTGGCAGTGGCTTGGTGCCTTGGCTCAGGTCTTGTGTGGGTACCGCTCAGAAGCGAGGACCGGTTCCCTGCCCGCGGTGGCCTCAGGAGCCTGATCAACCCGCTCGGCCACTGCAGGCGAGGCCAGCAGGGGGCGCGCCGCCTGTTGCCCGCGCTCACCTCACCGCAGTCTCCCTGTCCCCTCCAGGGCATACTGAATCCCGCCCAAGGGTTCCTCTTGTCGCTGGCCTTCTACGGCTGGACCGGATGCCGCCTGGACTTGCAGTCTCCCAGGAAGGAGATCCAGTGGGAGCCCATGACCAGCTCTGCCGCCGAGCGGGCCTGCCCCGCCCACCAGGGCCCCTGTGCGCCTGGTGACAGCCCCGCTTCCAGGAAGGTGGCACGTGTGGGCGGGCACACGTCGGACGAGGCCCTGAGCATGCTGTCTGGAGGTGAGGCCCCAGCTGCGAGGCAGGCGAGCTGCGGGGTCCAGGGCTCCCCCAAGGCCCGTCAGCAACCAAGGTGAGGTGGGATGGAGGTGGTGGCTGTCACCTCCCTCACGCCCGTCGGGGTGTACATGGAACGTCACAGTGCCCCACACTGATGCCAGTCTTGTAGTTCCTCATCTGCCTCTCCTTTCAGCATTTAAAAATATATATTTCTGATTCAGAGAGGAAGGGGGAGGGAGAGAGAGAGAAACACCAATGATGAGAGAATCATGGATCGGCTGCATCCTGCACGCTCCCTACTGGGGATCGAGCCCACAACCTAGACATGTGCCCTTGACCGGAATCAGACCTGGGACCCTTCAGTCCGCAGGCCGATGCTCTATCCACTGAGCCAAACCGGCCAGGGCAGGACCTTTGCTTTCATTCTACTGATAACCCACTGCTCTCCCCCCAAACCATGTGGCATCATCCATGAAAGGACCACTCAGAGGTGCCTGAGTTTGACAGAAGGGGGTCTCCCTCTCGTGGGGCACCTCCTGGAGTTGAGCGCAGGCGGCCAGGCAGCCACCACATGCCTGTGATCTCGTTCACAAACACGTTGCTGAAGCTCATGCAGCGCCTCCCAGGACACGACACCATCACAGCCTTCTCTCTCTTCCTCTCCAGGGTCTGATGCCAGCACAATCGAAATCCATATTGCAAGCGGGTCCCGCCAGGCGAACGAGGTTGAAGGTGTTCCCAAAATCCAGGGAGACCTGTGAGAGAGAAGGGGCCCGCCCCCCATCCTCCGACTCCACAGCCCTTGTTCCTCAGAAGTGTTCTCACCTTCCCAGCGCCTCTGTCGAGGTGTCCCTCCCCCCAGGCTCACTCTCATCACCATGTCAGAGCATCTTCCCGAGGGTCCTCTTTGTGAAAAGAGAAGCGACTGACGTGCGTGCCCTTAGGAATGGAAGAGTGCCTTCTAGGCCAGTGATTTCCGACCTCTGTGCCACAGGAATATGTACAACACGCAATACCTGACTGTTTAGTCAGGGGCGCCGCCTCTTTCCCTTCGTTTGTCAAATTAAAAAAATGACAACAGCGAACACAATAGCCGTCGGGTGTCATTGAATCAAAAGTTTGGCTATTTTCTTTGTCAGATGGGCAGAATATATATTTTTGGGGGTTGCCACCGAATTTTATGTGCCACAAGATGAAAAGGTTAAATATCGCTGTTCCAGACCAAATGCTCAGCAGCTTCTGTACACGCTGTAATGTAATGCCACGTCCAAGTCCCTGGGAAAGCTAATAAAGTCATTGAAACCAGGCTCCCAGTCTGGCTTGGGTTCCTTCTGAACAGCACTTCTAGCAAATGCTCTTGGGTAAAGTTATTGATGATGCCAGAAGGGCAGCAAAGTGGAGAAGCAGCTGAGGTGCAGGGCATGTGGATGGGCTGCGCTGCATGTTCTTCATTCACCACAAGAGGGCGCAGAAGAGGCAGCTCACATCAGGAATACAGCCTTTGGTCCCAACGTGGGGCTGCCTGTTCTTCATGCACCACAAGAGGGCGCAGAAGAGACGGCTCCTATCAGGAATTCGGTCCACACATGGGGCTGCATGTCCTTCGTTCACCACAGGAGGGTGCCAAAGAGACGGCTCCTATCAGGAATTCAGCCTTTGGTCTCTGTGTTGGGCTGCATGTTCTCTGTGCATTACAAGAGGGCTCAGAAGAGGCAGGTTTGATCAGAAATCCAGTGTTTTGGTTCATGCTGTTGGAGATCTTTACCATTATTATTCTGAACTCTGTATCAGATAAATTTCTTTTTAAAAAATACATTTTATGGATTTTCTACAGAGAGGAAGGGGAAGGGATAGAGAGTTAGAAACATCGATGAGAGAGAAACATCGATCAGCTGCCTCCTGCACACCCCATACTGGGGATGTGCCCGCAACCAAGGTACATGCCCTTGACCGGAATCAAACCTGGGACCCTTCAGTCTGCAAGCCTACGCTCTATCCACTGAGCCAAATTGGTTAGGGTCAGATAAATTTTTTATCTCCATTTAATTTATCTCTTCTGGAGAATTCTCTTGTTCTTTCATTTGGGGGTTGTTGTTTTTGTCTTCCCATTTGGGCTGCCTGTTTGGGTTACTGACTTAATTATAACATCATCCTCCAGTGGATTTATACTGCCGCCAGCTACTCTGGGGTCCGAGACTGCCTACACTCAGGCCTCCTTTGATCTCCACCACCATTCTGAACTCTGCTCCTCCTGTTACATATATATACTAGAGGCCGATGCACGAAATTCGTGCAAGAGTAGGCCTTCCTTCCCCAGGCTGCCTGCACCGGCTTCCCTCTGGCAACTGGGACCTGGGCTTCCCTCGCAGCCCCAGCTTCATCTGAAAGGTCGCCTGGAAGGACGTCTGGTCTAATTAGCATATTACACTTTTATTATCATCATAATAAAAGCTTAATATGCAAATGGTCATCACGCCATAATGTTGATCAGCAGGGACCTGAGGCTGCGTGGTACCAGGCCCAGGCGGGGGACCTGAGGCCACGCCCCCGACTCTGTGCTGGGACATGAGGCTGCGTCCCCCGCTTGGCGGGGCTTGACAGGGGTGGGGCCGGCCGGGTCTTGGTGTCGCCCAATGAGGGTGGGGCCGGCTGGACACTTCTATTATAGAGAAAGGGCAAACAGCAATATTAAAATATTTCCTCTAATAAATTCCCTTTTAATGTGCATGAATTTTGTGCACCGGGCCACTAGTAGATACATAATGTGCTAACTGAACAAAAGATCAATGTAGCATACTATTTAGCTATATTCACTTATGTAGAGAAAGTTAATGTTATATTGTAAATAACTTCTAAATTTCCTGAACTGGGTTTATTCTTCATGTGCACAAAGTATTTGTTTTGCCACCCTAACCAGTTTGGCTCAGTGGATAGAGCGTCGGCCTGAGGACTAAAGGGTCCCAGGTTCGATTCTGGTCGTCAGGGGCAGGACCTTTGCGTCACTTCTTAGTGTTCGTGGGGACAAGTCACTTAAGAGCATCACTGCCATTTTCTATTTGGTGAAGTCTCTATTGAAAAGTGTATTTGGCTCAATTTTTTTTTTCAAAGCAAAAAACTCCATTATTTCTATATCATGGTTGTGGTCACATCCTCAGTAAGCGGTGTGCAGGAGGCAGCTGATCGATGTTTCTCCCATCGATGTTTCTAACTCTCTATCCCTCTCCCTTCCTCTCTGTAATAAATCAATAAAATAGATTTTAAAAAAATATCTGTTGTGCCAAAGCGAGTAAAAAGTAAACTGTTCCCGTTTGGAAATGTAATAGTATAAATGGGTATGCTATGTCCAATGATCCTATTTGTCTATAGCTCAAACTATAGGTTATTTTGTAAGAAAAAATGATCCAAACCTTTGGTAGATACAATGCAGTTTTCAGAAAAATTTATATTACAAATATATCTTCCTTAGTTTTCAAGAGCCAAGGCCTGTGAGATAGCCTCCCTCCCAGCCAGTTAGGGGGAAACAATCTTGAAAGACAGGAACACATTTCATTTTCCTGTTTCCCATCCCAAGATTTCAGTTCCTCTTACTCCCTTCTCCTCCCCTTCCCGCTATGGCAGCGGTTCTCAACCTGTGGGTCGCGACCCCTTTGGGGGTCGAACGACCCTTTCACAGGGGTCGCCTAAGACCATCCTGCATATCAGATATTTCCATGACGATTCATAACAGTAGCAACATTACAGTTAGGAAGTAGCAATGAAAATAATTTTATGGTTGGGTCACAACATGAGGAACTGTATTAAAGGGCCAGAAGGTTGAGAACCACTGCTCTATGGTATGATTGTGTCCCATGAGGTTTGTTTAGAAGGTGCTGACTTTCATCTTAGCGACATGAAATGTGACAGTGCTCCTTACTATGTTTTACAGGGAGAAGCTTTATCATGAATGTGCTGAGCGCGTTCAGACTTCATTTCGAGAGTAGGAGAGAGCTGAGGAGCACATCAAGTTACCAGGGCAGAACCTGCAGGTTGGTATCAGGCTGAGGTTCGTGGTTAGTTTATTGTAAGCAAGTCTCAAGGAGGAGAGAGAGCCTGTTCATATCTTAGACCTGTGGTCAGCAAACTGCGGCTTGCGAGCCACATGCGGCTCTTTGACTCCTTGAGTGTGGCCACGAAGTTTCAATCGCACTACACGTGCACGCCCGCACGTGGTATTTTGTGGAAGAGCCACACTCAAGGGGCTGCAGTTTGCCGACCACTGTCTTAGACCCATGGAGTAGAGCCAGGGTCCCGTTCCCATTGCTGGCTATGTGGTTGGGCCCTATGTGACCACAGAAAAGCAGAGAAGCCCAGGCATCCACCACACTCAGAAAAGTCTTTCGTCTCTATTTCCTCTCGTGCTTGTCATTCTTGCAGTTTCAAGGAACGGAAATTTGCCAACTTGCAGCAGAGGGATGTCTTGGTTTATTTCAGGAAGACCAGAGGGCTGGGTGGTTAGCTCCAGGTCCAGCTGCATGTGCCTGGGCTCAGGTTGCTCAATTCGTGTCTTCTGGGCTCTGCCTCCATCGCCTTCCAGGCTCTCTCCATGGGGTCAGATTCTAGGCTCCCAATCCTAGATTCCCCACCAGGTTGGGACCCCAGTGGACGGAGACAAACCTTCCCGGGAAACCATCTTTGTCGGGCACCTTAAGCAAAAAGCCTCTGCAGGAGGAGGACTCATCCAGCCTGGATGCTTTTTTCATTGCTGAGCCGGTCACTGCGGTCAGGGCCATGGTCGGCAAACCGCGGTTCGCGAGCCACATGCGGCTCTTTGGCCCCTTGAGTGTGGCTCTTCCACAAAATACCACGTGTGGACGCACACGTACAGTGCGATTGAAACTTCGTGGCCCATGCACAGAAGTCGGTATTTTGTGGAAGAGCCACACTCAAGGGGCCATAGAGCCGCATGTGGCTCGCAAGCCGCGGTTTGCCGACCACTGGGTCAGGGCATGGTCCACTCTGGAGGGCCTGACCTGATCACGTGGAGGAGGGAGCTAGTGGAGGAGGTGTCGCTTTCTAAGGGCAGAGGGCAGTGAGTGGAAATGTTTCCTGAGAGGGGCCAGAGAATGGACTTGGGAAGATCATTGCCAAGCCTCATCCGGGCCCGACAGGTTAGTGTGTTAGTGACTATGACTCCATCCGGAGACTAGTATGCAATGCGAAGGCAGCGCGGCCGGAGGGCTGGATTTCTCAGGGTGGCTTTAAGCACCCACATGGACAGAGTAGGGGACAAGGTAATATATACAGAGCAAAACGCAGCCTGTGTCCCCAGGACAACTGTCTCCTTGTCCCAGGGAGGGACATCCACGAAGGAACGAAATGATGCCACACCCACTCGGGGTGGAAGTGGCCCTGGGACTTCCCATTCTGCAAATGCCTCTGAGTTCAATGTGGAACCTCGTTCCCAGCAAACCACCAGGGGACAGGAGGAGTCACCGACTTTGACTTTTCCAAATGGCCGGCCGGAAGTCACCCGCCCCCCCCGCCCCCGTGGAGTCTAGTGAACACATAAGCTGATGAACCAAAAGAGACCCAGAGACATGGAAGCAGGGAAGAGACTGAAACCTCAGAGGGAAGGCAGGTGTGGTGGGTGGGACGAGATCAGCCAATGAACTTGTAGGCATATATGCATCACCCATGGACACGGGCAATGGGTGGTGGAGGCCTGGCGGGGGTCAAGAGGGGGAAAGGGGGACATTTGTAATACTTTCAAGAATAAAGATTAAAACAGAAACACATGCCCTTAGGAGAGTTACCCTTTGCCACCCCCGGGCTGCTGTTCCCACATCTGGGCAGGTTCAGCCGCTGTCCGGGAGGCACGCACCCGAGTCTGTGTCTGCTCATCAGGGAGTCGTGGGCCCCAGGGACCGAGCGGGCCGAAGAAAGCACACCTACCACGTTCTCTCGTATCAAAATAGAGCGATTTATTCAAGACACTGAATAGGAGCTGCTGATTCTCTTGGAACAATGGGCTACCACACGCAAGGTGATCATTTTTGTAAGAGTGCGTGAGGGTGCGCGGGGTGGGGGGACAGACGCGGACGCGGACATGGACGCGGACATGGACGCGGGCGGACGGGGTGGAGGTGCTGCCGGAGAAGCACAGTTGCTGGACGACAAACACCGCAGGAGCCAGAGTTCAAAGCCCTGAGGCGGGGCCGAGGGGACGTTTGTGCATTTGACCGGAAACACGATTTGTGAAGAAAGAAAGGTGGAACAGGCTGAAAAGGAGGAAAGTAACCAGAACGAAGCAGACCTGACGTCGGACAAA